GATATATATATATATAAAAGAAATAACTTGATTGCAGTCATTAACCAGCACAAGGGAATTGGTGTTCAAATATCAACAACTGATTTGTCATTTCAAGGTAAGGAAAAAAGATACATACAAAGAATTTTGGCTAAAAGACAATATTAATTTTTTAAAAATGCTAAGATCAGGCTACACATGTGTAAGGAAAAAAAGATTAAAATCAAACTCACATTGAGTTTGATGTATCGGGACTCCCCCCCCCTTCCAGGAGTGAAATCCAGCAGGTTCTGACAGGTTCTGGAGAACCGGTAGCGGAAATTTTGAGTAGTTTGGAGAACTGGCAAATACCACCTCTGGCTGGCCCCAGGAGTGGGGAGGGAATGGGGATTTTGCAGTATCCTTCCCCTGCCATGCCCACCAAACCAAACCACACCCACCAAGCCATGCCACGCCCGCCATGCCATGCCCACAGAACCGGTAGTAAAAAAATTTGGATTTCACCACTGCCCCCTTCACTAAACTGGGCGTGGGCGTGGGCGTGGATGTGCGCATGGCCAGTGTGTGATGTAGGGAGTTTGATAGCCCTGCTATATACTATAAACTTTTACATAGTAACATAAAATGCAGATACAAAAAATATGGGTAGATATAACCAGTGGTGGGATTCTACCGGTTCGCATCAGTTCAGTAGAACCGGTTGTTAAGTAGTTAAGCAATTCGGAGAACCGGTTGTTAGAAAAAAAATCTCCTTTTGTTTTTTTTCCACTTTACAGGGTTAATCCTGTAAGGAATTTTTGTTTCCTAGCCTAATCTTTATTGCCCTGCTTACAGAAACTGCCTCTCCATTAACCCTTATTACATTCTTGGCAGTATGTCTAGACTTACTGTGGCTTCTGGTTCCGGAGCTTCTTGGAGTTTGGGGTTTTTTTTTTGCTTAAAGGGGAAGGGTTGTTTTAAGCTTTTTATACCGCTGTTGGGAGGAAATACTCCCCTGTTGGAGTTCTTCCAGCCAGGGTGCAATGATCAGCACTTTGAAGAAATAATTGAATAACGAAGCAGAAGCATTTAATGACAAGGAACCAAGATGAGTGACATTCAGCAAGGCTTATTGGCTAGCTAGAAAGATTGACATTCAAATGTTAGTTTACATACCCTTTCTGACATTTGGTCTAAAATTGGTTTTTGTGTGCTTGGTGATGTTTAATCCTGTGTTTAATCCTGTATTTAGTGATGAGATAATTTTCCCTATTCAGCTTTGTTTGGAAGGAAAAATGTTAATCTCTGTTCCTGAAAAGAAGCAGCTTCAGAAATCTGACTAGTTCCTGTGTCTATTTGTTCTGGTAATTGGTTTAACAAGCAACAGATACTCTGTTTGCTCCTTTGCTTCATTCTGGAGAACTTAAATGACCTCTCTGCTAAAGGGTTTCACTTTATGAGCAAGAGTTGGTTGCTGATAGTTATCATTGCATTTTAACTATTCTAATTCCTCAAGGTGCTCTGGCACCCTCCCTGATTTGTAACTCCAGTTTGCAGGTATTTCAAATCTAACGATTGGTATTTAGGGCAGCTTTTTGCAAGCAAAGAAGCTTTTTGTATTTTTGTACAGGTAATCCTTGACTTACAACAGTTACAATGGCACTGAAAAAAGTGACTTAGGACCGTTTTTCACACTTATGACCATTAGGGTCATTAGGGTAAAGAAGCGATGCCACATGACCACCTGGCCACACCCACCCGGTCACATGAAGCACTGCAGTTGTGAAATGAGTGATACGATTGTTAAGAATGCTGCAACGGGCATAAATGATGAGCGGTCATAAGTGCGAGGACCGATCAAAAGTACGAGGACCTGTCAGAAATCACTTTTTTCAGCCCCATGTGCATAGGGACTATTCATAGGGCTGAAAAAATTATTTTTGATCGGTCCGCGCACTTTTGACCGGTCCTCGCACTTACGACTGTCCTCACATTTTACATTTTGCGCCCTATTTTGTCACCGTAGTGAAGAGAAGCAGTTGTGAAATGAGTGACACAGTTGTTAAGAATGCTGCAACGGGCATAAATGTGAGGATGGTCATAAGTGTGAGGACCGGTCAAAAGTGTGAGGACCGATCAGAAATGACTTTTTTCAGCCCTCTGAGTAGTCCCTATGCACATAGCCATGGCCACCTGGTCACATGACCAGCTAGCCATGCCCATCCAGTCACATAACCACTAAGCCACGCCCCCAAATAAGCCACGCCCACAGAACCGGTTGTTAAAAAAATTGAATCCCACCACTGGATATAACAATAACATTATCCAAAAATGATCTGAGCGTTATAAACTTCTCTTACAGATTCCTATCAGACCTAAGAATATAGTACAATAGCTGGCATGGTACTATACACAAAAGCATAAAATAAGTTAAAAAGTAACCAATGCTTAATGCTGAACCTGAGCCATTTCTGGCTGCTCATATGCAAGTTCAGATCTATATGTAAATTTATGACAAAAACTGCATAGCATATCAAGTTTGGGTACATGGCTTTTTAAGGCTTCGTTCATTTATTGCTTCAAAAAGTCATATAAAAAAGTTGCAAATGTTGAAAAAATCATCCAATGAACATATGAGAGTACAGTTAGTCCTCATTTAGCAACTGCCTTGGACAGCGACCATACACAGTTACAATAGTGATGAAAAAATAACTTTGTGACCAATGCCCATATTTTTACAACCTTTGTTAAGTCTCTCAATTGCATATTTGCCATTACATCCAGTTAGTTCCCTCTTCTCCTGACACTTCGTAAAGCAGAGAGATTGCTTAACCAAGCTATTTCTTCCTGAACTGCTTCTCTCATAGAGCAGGGCATCCCTAAAAACTACTAAATGCAAATTAAAAAATTCTACTCTGTGACCTTAATCACCTGGGTTGCAGATGCTGCCTGAAATTGACAGGATCCTAATCAGTTTCATACTAAAGACTTTTGTTTTCCTCCTAAACAGCTGGTGGCCTGCACCAGTTAACACGCTAGGCAAACAGCTGGCACAAGCACATTTCTTTCAGTCTCTATTTTCTCTTATGTATTTGCTTACTCTCTTATAATCCTTTCTGCTCCAATGAATGCAAATACAAACATACATTCTAGTTTTTGTTATTTATTCCAATGCTGGGATGAGCATTAAAAGGGCAGGGAAATGGGGAAAAGGGACTGTAAGATTTGCCTTCTGAATTAGGTTCCAGAGACTTTTCCTACCTGCTGTTTGGGGTTGTATCTTTCTGCTGCTGTGTGTAAAGCAAAGGAAAGATGAAGTAAAATCTTGAATTAGCCCTGTGATTTTTCACTTAACAACCTCTTCCCTTAATGACTGAGTCAGGGGTCCCAATTGCAGTTGTTAAACAAGGATTACCTATACTGTGACAGTACCGTAAATGCAGAAAATTGGAAAAATAGTTCATAAGACAGTTATCGCATTTTAGTAAACGGACTTTTTAATCTGTTTTGATTGGTTAACTGTTTTCTTTTAAAGATTTTTGAACAAAGAATCAGATGGGGTCAGGATCAAGAACTGGTGCATGCCTCCTATGTGGTTTTGCATTTATGGTTCTCACAAGAGCAACTCATCATTTCATTCATCTTTTATTTTGAAAATAAAAATAATTCTAGAAGTTGTGTGGGAGGTCTGGGATGGGGGAAATCTTCATTCCTGAGGAGAAGAGGGGTGTAGTCTAAACTTCTAGAAAGCATGATGGTCAGCCACTTTAATGCACCAGAATATTTCTTGGTATCTTATTCCTAATTTTAGCTAAAACTGTACAGCTACACAGTTTTCTAGAACTGGCTTTTATATTTATAAAGTTGAGTATAGCAATAGCACTTACCATATTTTTCGGACTATAAAATACTCTGGACTATAAGATGCACCTAGCTTTTGGGGAGGAAAACAAGAAAAAAAAATCTGCCTCTGCCTCCCAGCATCCATCCATTATTCATCTGGCCCGTTCGCTGCTGCCCATTTGCCGTAGTCGATTTGCCATGGCCCGTTCGCTGCTGCCTGTTTGCCACCACAGCCGATTCGCTGCCGCTGCAGCCTGTTCACCATGGCCCGTTTGCCACCGCCCGTTCTAGAACAGCTGATCGCAGCCGCACCAACCTCCTCCACCCACTGCAATATTCGCTGTATAAGACGCACAGACATTTATTTAATAAAATGAAAATGAAAATTGCCACCCACTTTTTTGGGCGGGGGGGGAGTTCGTCTTATACTCTGAAAAATACGATATATACCACTTCACAGTGCTTTACAGCTCTCTCTAAGCAGTTTACAGAGTCACCATATTGCCCCCATCCTCGGAAGGATGGAAGGCTGAGTCAACTTTGAGCTGGTGAGATTCAAACTACCAAACTTCTGGCAGCCAGCAGTCAGCAGAAGTAGCCTACAATACTGCATTCTAACCATTGCACCACCATGGCTCTTTATTATATTGAGATGTAACTGGCAATAGTAAATTTATGTATTTAAAATTTTGAGTTTAATTTGAGTCCTTTTGACTTCGTGAAACACATACATATGGTTTTTTGGACAATAATGTGGAATTGATTTTCCATTGTCTCTTCCAGGATGGTTATACTGTATATTAGAGATGAATAAAACTATAGGCACAGTATTTACTTTTCTGATAAACATATGTTGGAAAATAAAGTATTGTAGCTCTTAGCTTCAGATGAATTTTATTTTGCAGGTTGAGTTTGATTGCCTTGCATTTTAAAGTGTGTTTAAGAGAGAACGAAAACTAAGTGCTTATTATACAACAATAAGAAGTTTGTGCAATTGACCCTTTGACCTTAATTCCTAAGAAAATGTCACATTTCTCTCTTACTCCTTTGTCTGGTTCAACAATGTGACTTAAAATACTGCAGAGTTGAAAGCTTTTCTGCATTGTAAGGTCATGTCTTGGTCACCATAGTTAGAATTTTGAGGTTGGAGTCAAAGGTCAAATAGATTAATGATGTCAGATACATCTTTAAATGGTTCTAACACTATTTCACCATGTGGTAAGCAGCTGAGCATATTTGATATGACAAAGCTTTCTTAAGTCTTGCTAATAGCAGGATGGCTGGAAACATCTGATGAAATAGACTTTTCCATTGTGTAGAAATGTTCCATATTAAGCAATGGTGGGTATCAACAGTGAGTTGTTTCAGTTCAAAACACCAGAAGTAGTTTGCTGCAATGGTTAAAGGTTTTTACTCTCATTGCCCCCCCCCCCTCTCTCTCTGTGTGTGTGATGTTGTTTTTTTTGGATACCTAAGTCCTGTGATGAATGTTCATTCTATTTCAATAAAAAGCTAGGGAAGGAAGTTGAAGAAGAAACTACAGTAACAGTTCTTTTCACTTACCAGGCTAATGTGTGTATGCAGAGTTAAATGAAAACTGTAGAAAAACATTTCAAAGTTAACATTCAATTTTTTTTCAGGATGTATCTGTTTCAAATGTATTCTTAAAATAATGCATTTCCTATGTATTTAGATATAGGAATTGATATGCTCTATTTGCATCATTTTCTTTCAAGAACCTAACTTGTATTTGCAAGTACAAGGATAAAAAGGAGAGATGAAAAGGAAATTTTAAACTGAGGAAAATAACCATTCTAGAGGGATGCCCACAACGGAACTGTGGCTCTTGTCTTTGGAAAAATCAGATATTTTTGGCATTCTGATATTTTGCTTGCATAAATCTGCTACATTTTGGTTTGCATGTATTCCTTTGTTATAAATATGTGCATAATGTACAATAAAATATAAACAAATCAAAGTATATTAAGATTACTGCTACTACTACTAGGAAATATATCAATATTATGGAACAAAAAGAATTCATAGCTTTACTCTAATGCTCTGCAAGGTAAAATTTTGTTTAGTTGATTGGCATTGGGTCTTCTTTTTTGTCATATAAGGTTAAAATGATTGTATCATGTTGAAAAATAATTGCAAATCACTAGGAAACTTTAAAGTAAATAAAGTACATATAGTCCTTGACTTACAACTGTAATGGAGCCTGCCCATCATGATAGTACATTGTAATAGTTGTGACATTTTTTGTGGTGGTTAAAGAAATGCCATGATTGTGGGGTATGGTTTTGCCAAAAAAAGAAGAAGAAGAAGTAAATGCTGTTTTTCAGCAAAACCATTGTAAAACGCAATCATGAGATGATGGCTCTAAATATGGCCCTGTTGCCACACATCCTAAGTTTGGTCAATTGACTGTAGGCAGGGCCTGACTTATGGAACCTTCAGTTCGAATTCTAAGTAGCCCTCAGATAGATCTGTCATAACTTTGAATGCCCACTAAGCAACTGGTCGTAAATCAAGGAGTACCTGTAGGAGAAAAGCAGACAGAGCTGGAGGGCAGAGTTAAACACGTCATCAGTTTAAAGTCCATGCACAACAGATGCAAGTCCAGCCCCCCTCTTAATTTCCATTGATCCCTATTTAGTGTTGGCTATTAGCAATAACATTTAGACTTATATATTCAGCCCATAGTGCTTTGCAGCATTCTCTGGACTGTTTACAATGTAAGCATTATTTGCATATTGCCCCCAACAATCTGGATCGTCATTTTACCAACCTCGCAAGGATGGCAAGCTGAGTCAACTTTGAGACCCATCAGAATCAAACTTCAGGCTGTGGACAGAGTTTGACTGCAATGCAGATATGGCGGGAGCAGGGGGCCATATCGTGTTAGGGGAGGACGCTCGTTATCTGCGAGCGTTTGCGTGCTCCGGCCCTCAATGCTCGTCTTGCACCCCAGGTTGTTCAGATCCTCAGGCCCTGGGCCTTTGGTTGATGTTGTGCAATGCCAGGTCTGTGGTAAATAAAGCCCCCCTCATTTGTGATCTGGTTCAGGAGGGGGGTGCGGACCTGGTAGGTATTACGGAGACCTGGTTGGGCCAGGAGCGGGGGGTCCCCCTCGTTGAGATATGCCCTCCGGGTTTCTATGCATTCCATCAACGGAGGTCCCAGGGGAAGGGTGGGGGGGTGGCAGTTCTAGTAAAGGAAGGTCTCGCCCCAAGGGAGGCCACTGTACCTCAGATAGCCGGAAGTGAAGTGGGGACAAGGGAGGCAGATGGGCTTGCTGATTATGTACCTGGCTCCCTTCCACGTGTTGGCGGCCCTGCCAGAGCTCCTCAACGTGATTGCCGAGGTGGCGGTTGAGACCCCCAGGCTTATGGTCATGGGGGACTTTAACCTGCCGTCTGTCGGCGAAGCGTCTGAGGTGGCTCGGGAGTTCATGGCTTCCATGACGGCCATGGACCTGACCCAATTAATTTATGGACCCACGCACATGGGAGGACACACTCTGGATCTGATTTTTGTCTCTGGGCAGTGGATGAATGATCTCGAGATAGCGGAGATAGTGATTGAGCCTTTGTCATGGTCAGATCATTCCTTCTTAGGCTTGACTTTCTAACCGCCATACCCCGCCGCAGGGAGGCGGAACAGACCAGATGGTTCCGCCCCAGGCGCCTGATGGATCCTGATAGGTTCTAGATGGAGCTTGGGCCATTTCCTGAGGCTCTGACTCATGGCTCGGCTGAGGAGCTGGTGGCCGCCTGGGATAGGGCGGCCGCTGACGCTTTGGACCGAGTCGTGCCTGTGCGGCCTCTGACCTGTCGCCGAGTCTACCTGGCTCCTTGGTTCTCCGAGGAGCTGAGGGAGATGAAGCACCAGAAAAGATGCCTAGAGAGCAGTTGGAGATCTAGTCGCTCCGAATCCGACCGAACACTGGTAAGATCTCATATTAAGACTTACCTAGTGGCGATAAAAGCGGCAAAATGTAACTATTTTTCCACTCTTATCACATTGGCAGATAATCACCCGGCCGCCCTGTTTAGGGTGACCCGTTCCCTCCTCCATCTGGGAGTGCGGGAGGATCCCTTGCAGGGTCGTGCTGAGGATTTTGTCCAGTATCTGCATGATAAAATCACTCAGATTCGTAAAGGCTTGGTCTCTGACTGGGTAGGTACAGACGGGATGATGGGTGCCGGTCTTGAGACTGCCATTTGGGAGGAGTTCGACCCTGTTGCTCCTGAGGACGTGGACAGGATACTGGGGCGGTTGAACGCGACCACATGTTTATTGGACCCATGTCCCTCCTGGTTGGTGCTGGCCTCCCGGGAGGTTACACGAGGCTGGCTCCAGGGGATTATCAACGCTTCCTTGAGTGAGGGTGTCTTGCCATCCGCCTTGAAAGAGGCGGTGGTGAGGCCCCTCCTCAAGAAGCCTGCTCTGGATCTGGCTGTTTTGGCTAACTATCGTCCGGTCTCCAACCTTCCCTTCTTGGCGAAGATTGTTGAGAGTGTGGTGGCGCGACAGCTTCCTGGGTACCTGGATGAAGCTGTCTATCTGGATCCGCTCCAGTCCGGCTTCAGGCCTGGGTACAGCACGGAAACGGCATTGGTCGCATTGGTGGATGATCTCTGGAGGGCTCGGGATAGGGGTTGTTCCTCTATCCTGGTCCTGTTAGATCTCTCAGCGGCTTTTGATACCATCGACCATGGTATCCTGCTGTGCCGGTTGGAGGAGTTGGGAGTGGGGGGCACCGTTCTGCGGTGCTTCTCCTATCTCTCCGACTGGTCGCAGTCGGTGTTGGCAGGGGGGCAGAGGTCGATCCCGAGGCGCCTTGTTTGTCCTCTCGCCCCTTCTGTTCAACATTTATGTGAAGCCGCTGGGTGAGATCATCCGTGGCTTTGGGGTGGAGTTCCATCAGTACGCTGATGATACGCAGCTGTACATCTCCACCCCAGGCCATCCCAACAATGCCCTTGAAGTGATGTCCCGGTGCCTGGAGGCCGTGCGGATCTGGATGGGGAGTAACAGGCTTCGCTTCAACCCTTCCAAGACTGAGTGGCTGTGGCTTCCGGCGTCCTGATATAGCCATTGCTGGCTATTGGGGGCGAGTTATTGGCCTCCATGGATAGGGCTCGCAACTTGGGCGTCCTCCTGGATACACGGCTGTCTTTAGAAGAGCATATGATGGCCCTGGCCAGGGGGGCTTTTTATCAGGTCCGCCTGATTCGCCAGTTGCGGCCCTTTCTGGATCGGGACTCCTTACGCACAGTCACTCAGGCACTCGTCACTTTCCGCCTGGACTACTGCAATGCTCTCTACATGGGGCTCCCCTTGAGGAGTACCCGGAGGCTCCAACTGGTGCAGAATGCGGCCGTGCGGGGGATTATGGGAACAAGGGGCCGCTCCCATGTGACACCTCTCCTGCGTGAGCTGCATTGGCTTCCAGTGGTCTTCCGGGTGCGCTTCAAGGTATTGGTTACCACCTTTAAAGTGCTCCATGGCATAGGACCTGGGTATTTGTGGGACCTCCTTCTGCCGCCGATAGCCTCCCACCGACCAGTACGGTCCCACAGAGAGGGACTCCTCAGGGTGCCGTCAGCCAGGCAATGTCAGCTGGCGACCCCAGGGGGAGGGCCTTCTCTGTGGCAGCTCCTGCCCTCTGGAACGATTTGCCCCTGGAGATAAGAAGGATATCGGATCTCCGGGTCTTTTGCCGTGCCCTGAAAACTTTTTTTTCCCATCAAGCAGGGCTGGCATGAACCCCCCCCCACTTTTTTAGTTTTTTAGCTTTTTAGCTTTTAATCTGTCAATGGGTTTAATTCGAATTGTTTTAAATTTGGGCCAAAGTATGTAATTCTTTTAATAATTTTAAATTTTGTATTGGTATGTGTTTTAGTTCTGGCTGTGCACCGCCCTGAGTCCACTAGGAGAAGGGCGGTATACAAATTGAAGTAAGTAAGTAAGTAAGTAAGTAAGTAAGTAAGTAAGTAAGTAAGTAAGTAAGTAAGTAAGTAAGTAAATAATAAATAAATAAATAAATAAATAAATAAATAAATAAATGTATGTATGTATGTATGTATGTATGTATGTATGTATGTATGTTGCACTTTAATCACTGCACCACCAGGTCTCATAATTGACTAGATTGCTATGTAGAGGCTTGAATGCATTTCTGTGTTGCAAATGGTTCTGATTATTTGCGCACGACCTTATCTGTTAATCAGTATTTACACCAATATCAATATTTGCTATTCTTTATCATTATTTTATTCTGTATAATGTTGGTATATACTTTATGAATTAAGGCTTAAATTACCAAACACAAAGTTGTTCAGTGTAAACCGAGTAAGTAACAAATAACATGGTCTGTTATCACTGCTTTAATCAAAATATTTCTGCAGAGCAGTGATATTGTAAACAAGCTCACCTTTTGGTAATGAACTTAATTGTGTATTGTAGAAGATTTTGAATATTCAGAAGACTTCAAGTAATTTTGGCTGCAGCTCTGCAGTAAGGCCATTTTGTTCAGATGAAAGAGCAATCTCATTGTCTTTTAAAATAGAATTAACTAGAAAGTTAGGCCTCTGCATTTCTGGGACAAGTTTAATGATGTTATAATGTACCAATAACTGGTCTTAGAGGTATATTTACTGAGGCTTTCTTGAACATAGTTAAGTAGCTGAAATTGGTTCAGCACAGCTTCCATCTAGCATTGCATAATGCAGCAAGGAATATTCTCAAAGACACAGCACTGGAGTTATCTGCTTATAATTTATTACTGATATAACTAGGATGCAGGGAATTGGATTTTAGCCTCTTCATTGGAAAGTTACTAATTAGAGAAGCTGTTGAAATTGTTTGAAAAAAGCAAATATGAAAATTTGTTCAGAAAATGAAATGGACTCTGCTTCATCCTCATAATCTGCTCTAACATTCAGTATCCAGTTACTGTTGGCTTGAAAA